ACTTGCTGCAGAGTTGGCCAGGTCTTTTCTCTGTCCCAGACAACAGCGGGGACCCCGGAATGTGCCCGCAGCTCGGCTCCCTGTTAATCAAGGCTTCTAGTGCCCTCGGCTCCCAGGCTCATGTTGCCCTGTGTCCAGTGGGAACCATGTTCGTCGACTCTCCCGGACGCTTGGAGAAGCTAGAAGGGACTGAAGAGGTGAACGGGATGGGATAGTGGGCTAGAACACCGAAGGTCACTACTGCAGCTTCAGTGGGCTGTTCTCGCCAGCTGACCCCCTGCATCCTCTCAAGGTGTGGGAGGGGAGGGGAGGGGAGAGGGAGGGAGAGGGGAGAAAAGCTCTCTGGAACGCCTCTCCCCATCAAAGCACTCACCCCACTGAAAAGCCCCCGAGACTTTGTCTGAAGCCGACTACCTCCCAAAGACCCCATCTTCCGATATCGCGGCACCAGAAGTTAGCGTTCGGCATCTGGGTGTGGGAGAGACACAGTAACACGGTTCAGCCTGTAGTGCAACCAGAACGGAGGGTGAGAGAATCTCCGCTGCCTCCACACCCAGGATGGGGGAGTTTGTTGTAAGACCCCTCCTCACATTCCTGGAACCCCCATCTTCACTGAGCCCTGAAAACTCATCTCCATAACAAGGCACTTGCCTGTGTTCTAGGCCCTCCTTTCCCAGGAAGCCTTCCTGCCATCCAGACAGATGTACGAGAACACAGACACATGGGGACCACAAGCTGGACCCTTCACAAACAGCACTAGGTGGGGCTGGTTCCCTGCAGCCCCTGCATTAATTTTATTGGTAGCCTTCTGAAAATCAGGCTTTAACTAATGGAAGAATGAGACTGACTTGAGGCCAGATCGACAGAGCCGTTTTGGGAGTGCACACTGGTGCAGACCTGTAGCTACCCAGGGCCAAGCTGCCGACTGCTAGGACGGAGGAGGTGGAGGACATGTGGGGCATGACTGCTTGGAAAGCAATGGACTGCGGCATGCATGATGGGGCCGGGTAGATGGCTCAGTTGATAAAATGTTTGCCTTGCAAGCACCTGGACCCGAGTTTGGTCCCTAGAACTCCTACTCAGAAGCAAAACATCTGACACAGTGGCACACACTTGAAATCCCAACTCTGAGAAGTCAGAGCCAGCAGGTCCCTGAGGCTAGCCAGCCAGCCCACTTGGTGTGTTCCACATGAGTGAGAGACCCTGTCTTTTTGAAAAAGAAAATGGTGGGTAAGGGCTGGAGAGATGGCTCAGCCTTTAAAGCTGGACTCACAACCAAAATATAAAAATGGTGAATGGTGCCTGAGGAATGACATCTGAGGTTGTCCTCTGGCTTTCAGACACACACAATCACATGCACAAAGAACACACACACACACACACACACACACACAGACACACACACACACACAGCAAGAAAACTTCCAAAACCCAAATAAGTGGCAAAACAGCAGGAGTTACAGACCTGGTCGTCTGTCACTAGGCAGCTCTCTGATCTGAGAGAACTCTCTGGGGGTTGTAAATTCCTTGAGTGGGAAGCATATCTTCCGTCTATTCTCAGAACCTGTAGTCAGAGTTCAATGCTGCGGCCTTAGGGTTACTCTTCTATTACATTTGCTGTAGAACACACAGACACAGGATGTGACATTCATCCATTTCTAGGTATACACCTCTCAGGCATCAAATAGATCCATGATGCTGTGGTCATCACCTCAATCGGCTTCCCAAACTTTTTCACCTTGCCAAAGTCAAAGTCTGTCCCCATGAGCAGTAACCCCGAATTCCTCCCAACCCCCCACAACCTCTACTCTGTGCATTTCGAGGTACCTTATGTAAGTGGATTTTAAACTATGGCTTATGGTCACATGGTCATGTGACCAAATATGAGGTCACAGAAAAATTTGACAACAGTAAAATGTTGCCGAACGTGCAATTATCAAAAGTTAAATCAAACACGTCGTGATGCTGAGATATCTGGGACAATGTTCCCATGAGTTGCCTTGTGGGACTTCACTGCAGTCTTGGGTGTGCATGCGCTTGCATGCACACACACACACACACACACACACACACACACACACACACACACACGATGCTTTGCACTGGGCATTGCCAACATGCTACACAATATCCATGAACGCTGCCTGATACACCTCTGCTCAGATTGGAAGCTAGTGAGTGTTAGGAATTGCGCTGTTCCTGCTGCTCTTCTAAATACTACATGGTTTAATTACTGAAAGCAAAGACTTTCAACATTTATCTCCCATCCTCCCTAGGATGTAAGCATCAAATTAGTATATCTTTGAATGGGACTGTGTTAGACAATAAACACATCTTCCTCAAAAGCAAATTTGTGTTTTATCCTTAATAGATGATAAAATTATGTGCACACCAAAGGATTTTTAATTAAATTTCTTTGTTATTTATTTTTATACATATTTTATATTCCTATATAACATTTTTCAAGCAAAAAGTGGTCATGATGAAAAAGGTTTAGGAATCAGATCAATTGCTAAAATGCTTGTTTTGGAGCCATGTAGACCTGAGTAGGAGCTCCAGAACTCATGTCAACAAAATTGTGTGTGGCATGTGCTGGGCAAGAGGAGACGGGCAGATCCCCGAGCCCGGAGCCAGCTACCTAGCCAGCCTGGCCTACTTGGCAAGTTCTAGACTAGTGAGAAACTCTTTCTCAAAACAGATACACAAAAAAACCAAAAGCAAAACAAAAAAAAAAACCACACACACAAAGGTGAGTGGCACTTGAGACCCAAACACACACCACACACACACACACACACACACACACACACACACCACCCCAGTCTCTATGTGTTCATTTTGCTCCTCTGTCTATGGACAGGCACCTATGAGAGATGGCTTTCTCTTGGCTCTTTCCTTTGAGGTACATTCTCACACAAATAAGTATCAGTTTTTTCTTCCTTGGCTCTCTACCTAGGAGTAGAATTGTTGTTTGGTGGCCCTGGGTGTGACCACTTTTCTCGTTTGAGAAACTGCCAGTTGTTTTCACTTTAAAACAGAACTGTTTGAAAGTGCTTAGTGCTGCTCCAGGGGTGCTGGGTGTCCCTCGGAGAAGGAGACTGAAGCCACCTGGGCTCAGACTGGCCTTCTGGCTGTGCAGTTTCTAGCTCTCCCTGGGGATGACAGGGATCAGATGTGTTTGTGACTCAAGGGCCTTCCCTCACACCAGAGCTGCATGGTTTCTCGGTCTGGGATCAACTGTATACTAAAGCTTAAAGTTCGCCACAGAGAAATTATTCTCCAGACTTCAGAAATGGCCACGGTATGTGCAGACATTTCCAGTTTCATTCCTAGGACTTGAACTCCAAACGTGATTGCTGTAAGGACTGAAGGGAAAGCCAGGAAGTTTAACTGGGAAGGCAGAAAGTGGGATGTCGCTAAGATCAGAGCCCAACGACATGGACCAGAGTTACAGAACAGCTTAGATCAAGCTAGGCGTGGCCAGGACAGCAAGGGAGCAGGTGACAGGGAGTTGTCTGAGCATCTTTTTATTTAACTTTAAAAACATTTATATACTTATGTATGTGTGTTCTGTTAGCATGTATGCCCTTATGCCACAAGAGAGCATCAGATCCCATTAAGGATGCTTGTGAGCCACCATGCACCATGTGGTTGCTGGGAATTGAACTCAGTGCTTGTAAATGCTGAGCCATCTCTCCAACCCCTGTTTTAGAATCTTAAGGTCTGGGTTCAGATTTCAGCTTTTCTGCTTCTAGTTGGGGTAGAGCTTAACTTTCCCCAAATTTACATTTTTTTCATTTGTAAAATAAGGACATTATGGAAACTATGTGAAATTATTTGGATTAAATAAATCCACATAGGTGAGATGATTCTCATGGTGTCAGCGGCTTACTCTGCTCTTCCTAGGTCCTGAGAACAAATCCCTGGGATCCTGATAAACTGGGAAAGCTGGGGCTCAGTTATGGCTCCATGCACACGTGCGTTTGCAAGTCTCTGGGTGCAATCCGAGCATTCTTCTGAAGAGGCCTCTCTAACAAAAACCACTTCAGAAACCTTTCTCCCTTTCCTGGTTTCAGAAACATACTTTAAATCATGAGTTTTTGGTAGTATTTGCCTGTTGATTGCCCTAAAGTTACCTTTGGGCCAGGGAAATGGGTTAGCAGGCGAGGGTAATTATGGCAGCACAAGCCTAATGCCCTGAACTCCATCCTAGAACCCGTGCTAAGAGCTGGAGTTGGCAGCATGAAGCTATAATTCCAGCACTCCGCTGGCGGGTGGTAGGAAGCATAGAGAGAAGAAATCCCTCCCCTGCTCCCGCTCCTGCCACCTCCCCCCTCCCCCAAGCTTGCCTTGAGTAGGTAACAGAGCAGCAGAAATAACAAGAGAGGCTCTGCCTCAATGAAGGGGAAGATGAAAACCGACCCCTAAAAGTTGTCCCCTGATTTCCATGCATGGGTCATGGCATGTGCTCAAGCGAGCGCGCGCGCGCGCACACACACACACACACACACACACACACACACACACACGTATGCTTTTTTTTTTTTTTAAGTTTAAAGCTACCTAATTTCCTTTCTGTTGTTTCCTCTGTGTCCACATCAAATACTTTGTCTTTGGGGGAGTCTGGTAGACAGGTTTTCCTAGTAGGTATGAAACTGTATGTCTAAATAAAGCACTCTCTATGCTTTAAAAATAACAGTTATAGGGCTGGAAAGATGACTCAGTGATTAGGAACATTGGCTGCTCTTCCAGAGGACCTGGGTTCAATTCCCAGGTTCTACACAGTAGCTCACAGCCATCTGTAATTCCAGTTCCAGGGACTCCAGTGCCCTCTTCTGACCTCCACGGGCACCAGGCATGTGTGTGGTACACAGACATACATGCAGGCAAAGCACCCGTCCAGGTACAATGTTTTTTTAAGGAAAAGAAAACAAAAATAATTAGCAATGTCAATACAACAGAAAACCTTGAGTATCCAAGCAAAACTCAGAAAGGAACACTTTTTTTGGAGGCTCGCTTTTATTTACTGCAAAGGTTTTATTTACTACAAGACCATAGCAGCGTGAACAGAGATCACTGCCATTAACAGGACTTGAGGGAAATGGCATGTGTGGTAAGCGTGAAAGGACTAAAGGACTTCCTCTTTCCCATCTTCCCCAGCGCTGGCTGGGGCTGGGGCTGGGGGCTGGGGGCTGGGGCAGAGGCCGGCTCAGTCTCAGCTTCTGCTCACCCTTGCTGATGTAACTCGATGAGCCGACCTGCAAACACCGCCAGTGTCCCGATGAGACATACCAGCATAAAGATTCCAAGGAGAATGTGGTCCATCACCATGGCAACATACTTCCATTCCTCAGATGCCTGGAAGGGAAGAGGGCAGTAGACAGGATAGGATCCCTTAAGATGGGGCACAGGCTCATAGCATCCCCTACTGGCCTGGCCTTCAACATATAAATCTCCAACCTTAACACTCGAGTCTGATATTATGATCTTATTTTTTCGTGTAATTATTTGAAATTAATTAAAATGAGTTACTAAAGTGCCCTAGGGGTAGTCAACCCAGCACATCTGAGGTCAGTAGCTGTAGCTTGGAGCCAACTCAATGCTCAGGTCAAACCCACCTGTCATGCGTTTGATCATTTAAACCCAGAGGTGTGGACTTGAAGCCACAAAGCTTACATTATTGGACTCCTGGTCTGACTTCATGGTCTCTGCGATGTACTTAACACCCTCGATGGCACTTTTCACCTCGGGGTGCTTGATCAGTGGAGAGTGGAAGCCCACAGGTGGAGGCCCCGGCTTCCCGGAAATGTCAGAGATATCTATGTCTTCTGTGAAAATCTTTTTCTCTTGTTTGTCTCTGGATGGTCTTTTCATTGTGGAGAAAAACATAATGTTTGGGATAGTGTCGATAAAAACCTAACATAAAAAAGAAATTCATGGCATGAGACTTCTTGTCAACATTTCAAGAACCACTGTCTTTGAATTTGCCATGTAATCTTGGGCGAATCACTCAGCATCTCTCTCTAGTCCTCACCTTCCTTGAACTTAAAACCAAAGGACAGCTCTGCAGGGTCAAGGGCAATACATCTGGCTGGAGGCTACAGCTATGTTCTGTAATGTGAGCAGTTGGCCACTGGAGGGAGCCCGTGTGCAGCCACCAATGCCGCATTACCAAACTGCAGGCAACAGAACCATCCTTGATAGCGTGTTTTGGGGGCCATATGTTTAAAGACCAGTCCTGAAGCCTCAAGGACGTAAACACTTAGCCACACAGAATAACTCAACTGTTTCCTTCTGTTCTTGTTCCTGATGTTAAGTATACAGAGTCGTCTAACAGGAACAGTTAGTGTCCCCCAGAAAGCCTCCATGGTAAGCCATTATTACTGACACTAATTCCACACAGCTTAGAATCTGTATGGTGTTTATCAAATACGGGCATATTTGGGTCAGAGATATAATGCTTGTCAAGAATGTTCAGGGCCCTGAGCTCAATCCCCAGCATGACCACAAAATCAACTGATTAAAACAAAAAGACATATGTAAGGTATTAACACATTTTCAGTTCAATAACATAAATATTCGAGAGCACTCTCCTCACACCAGGGCCCTCCTCTCTCTCCTCCTGCTTATTCTATTCTCAACTGATGATTTTTACCAGTGAAAATAAGCATGTCTGTTCACAAATTGGGAAGCATACCAATAGAAATCTTAAGAATGTCCTTGTCTGGTGTGGTGGTGCACGCCTTTAAATCCCAACACTCAGGAGGCAGCGGCAGGTGGATCTCTGTGAGTTCGAGGCCAGCCTGGTCTACGGAGTGAGTTCCAGGACAGGCAGGACTGTTGCACAGAGAAACCTTGTCTCAAAAAAACAAAACAAAACAAAACAAAACAAAAAACCAAAACAACAACAACAACAAAAAACAACCAAAACAAACAACAACAGCAAAGAATGTCCAAGTGAGAAGACAGGGATCTATTAATTTCTAATCAGAGCATCCATAAATTTTTGTGGGTTTTATTCATTTTACTTTTCTTCTGTCTCGGGGAAGGCTACATGATCTGTCCCCACAGAACACTGCTCTCCCTTCCCTAAGCCCAGGAAGGTCTTTCAGTCCCGAGTATGCCAGGTGTTAGCTAGGACGTGGTTGGTGTCACTGAAGGGGAGACCTGTGAGTCTGGGCACTCACCTTCCGCACCCACTCGGGCATGACGTGGGTGCTGGGCGAGCGGTGGTGGGTGTTGATAACGATGACGGTGATGATGATGGACGCGATGACGGACACCATGGTGAACAGCATGTACTTCCCGATCAAAGGCACGGCACTGGAGGTAGAAGGGATCAACTCCACGATGACCAGGAGGAACACAGTGAGGGACAGCAGGACAGAGATACTCAGAGTCATCTTCTCCCCTGGAGAGACACGAGGAAGAAATGCAAAGCCCGCCCACTCCTGGAACCCCAGGACTTCAGGGGTGACTGTATTTGGATAAGTATTAAGAAGATAATTATGGCAAAACCAGAGTGGGGGAGTGACCGGTGTCACAGTAAGGGGGACTTTGGACACAGACGTGTACAGGAAGACCATGTGAGGACGAGGAGAAGGTATCCATGCCAGGACAGGAGATTGGCCTCAGAATAGAGGAATCCCCTTGGCCCCCTCCTCTCAGTTTGAGCTTTCCGAGCTGTGAAAACCCCACACTGCTATGGTTTAAAGCCCCCATGTGGCATTCCATCAAGGCAATCCTTGGACACTCATCCAAGGCGAAGGAATGTGGCCGGCATGTTCTCAAAGGATAATTCTGGGGATTTCTCTCCTGTGTGACCACAGCGTCTTAACCCTACTGAGCATCAAGTGGCCGCTGTTTCCATTACAGGTTGCCAAGCAGCGAAGGGCGACTTCATTTCATGCCCTAGACTCTTGGTTTTTGTTGGGACTCAGGAAAACAAGAGAGATTCTGGGTTGGCAAGCTAGACTCAGGGTGGAAGTTTGACTAAACCTCAGTCCTGGTCTTTTTGTTAGCCGGCAGATGGCTGGGCAATCCAGAAATACATTGCTCTCAGTATGAAGTGAGGTGCAAGGCCAAACTGAAAAAAAGACAAACTCTGCCATTGAGGAGCTGTCTTCAGTGTGCCCAGGGACTCCTGACCTCCCTCTAGAAACTTTGTCTTCTCACTCATTTTACAAGTTTTTTTTTTTGTTTTTTGTTAAGTAGGGATTTCCCTAAGCTCCTGTCTTTTTTTCTACAGGCCCCGAGACTCAGGAGTCCTGGCTAGGCAGACAGCAGGAAGGTCAGGTGGGGTGTTATAGAGAACCTTGGGCTGCTCTTGTTGGCGATTCTGGTGGTGGTGGGGTTTCTCATATTGCTCTGCCTGCTGTTATTATAGACCTCTTCGTAGCCTTCCAGATGGTAAACATACAGCCAGCCTTCTGTATCTGAAGATTTTGCAAGAATTCAACCAAACTAGTGTTGGAAATATTCAGAAAAATTAAATTATATCTACACTGAATATATGCAGATTTTTCTGCTGCTATCACCCAGACAATATAGTATGATAGCTATTGTGTAGCCTTTACAGCGTATCAAGAAATAATTTTAAGTATCAAAGGTTGTGCAGACGTTCCATGTGACTACGATGCCATTGTATACGAAGGACTTGAGCATCCTTGGATTTCAGGACCCGTGGCATCCTAGAACTGGTCTCCTGTGAATCCTGGGGAGTAACTAAACACGGCAGACACAGAGTAAAGCATGAAGTTCTCAGTTCTACTCCCCAAGGAAGTTAGAATTATGAACGTTAAGCTATCAAGTTACTTACCATTTCTTCTCTAATAACACTGCTATTTAGTTATGTACTAAGTAGTCATAACTCTTTCATTATACAGTCATAATTCAGCATTTATAGATGCTAATTAGTTTCCGTGTCGCACTAGGCAGTGTTTTCTCCACTTTCTTTCAGAAGTTTCATTTGATTGGGAAGTTGGAAATATTTATTTGCACGTATTTGTTCCAGAGGAAATACGGGAGGAAAGAGAGATGGCTCAGTCGTCAAGAGCACTGGCTGCTCCGTTCCCAGCATCCACACTGCAGCTCTCAACCTTCTGTAACTGTGATGCCAGGGGAACCGATGCCCTCTTTGGGCCTCCGTTAGCACCAGGCACACCCATGTATGCACACACATACATGTAGGCAAAATACTCATACACGTTAAAATAAAGAAGTAGAAATATGGGGGTGGGGGGGGCGCTGCAGAGCTTGCTAAATGGTCAAGAGCACTTAGTGCTCTTCCAGGGAACCTGAGTTTGATTCCCAGCTAGGGGCTCCACTCAAGTCATACGGCCGACTCAGCAACTGTCCGTCTGCATCCTGTCCAGATGCAGTGACGATTTGGATCCCCGTGCCTCTGGTAGCACAGTTATTCCTGGCTACCCCTGAAATAGCAGCACGGGCTCCATGGCAGCCGTAGTCATGGCAACCGCACTCACCTGAGTCTGTGGGCAGGTAGAACACCAGGCTGGTTAAGAAGGAGAAGAGCAGGCAGGGAATGATGACGTTGACGATGAAGTAGAGGGGCAGGCGCTGCATGACGAAGTGGTAGGTGATGTCCAGATAGGGCGTGTTGGGGCAGCAGGAATAAAACACCCAGTGTTTCCAGCCCCGGGCCTCCTTGATCACCCACTCGCCACTCTCCATGAAGTTACTCAGATCCGGCTGGTCGCTTTCCTGAGAAACAGAATAAGGTTTGCGGAGCCCCTCTACACCACTCTGAGGAGGATCAGTGATGTGGTAACCATTTGGAGGGACACTCCCCCAAGAGGGATGTTGGGCCCCCTATGTTGGGGTAATGGATTTATTTCACATAGCACGCGTTGTATAATAAGTTAGGGTTATTCATTTTGGCCTTACACTCAGATCTCTGGGAAACTATAAAACACTGATATCCAAGGCCCGCTCAAGACTCGTTCATCAGAATTCTTGAGACAACACATAGCAAAGGGAATTCCTACTTAGAACTCCCAGGCAGTGCATCAGGGACCTTGGCACACAATTGGAAGCCATACAACTGGATGCTTCTCTAGTTCGGAGTGAGCCTGTGATTGTCAGAAGGCTGACTTGGATACCTGGGTGGCCCTGTTCCTGAAACCAGCTTCATCCCGGGAGGCCACCGCTTACCGGGTTGATCGCCACCACAGAGCCATCATAGGTCCAGGTGCCCAGCTTCATAGTGCAGTTCTGCTCATCAAAGGGAAAATGGGTGACAATGATCTCACAGTAGCTTTTGAAGATGGCTGGAGGCGTCCAGGTGATGTGGCCGGTGTAGTCCAGGAGCACCTTGGTGAACTTGACAATGGCGAAGTCTCCATCGGCACTACGGTTGGGATAAGGGAGGAAGATGGCTCCAATGCTGCATCCTAATCTATGGAAGTGCTCCCCAGAGTCCTCCTATAATAAGACTCTCTGCGGTAATGCTCCAAAAACGCACATCCCTAAGCCTTAGCCAAGTGTGCTGGTGTGCTCCTGTGACTGCAGCACTCCAGAGGCTGAGGCAGGTGGATTAAGAGTCCTCAGTTAGTCTGGGCTACATCCCGAGACCTACCCTATCGATCAATCAGTGAGCCAATGAAAGAAAGAATGCAGATTCTGAGCGTGAAGCAAGCCCCAAGTCAGAGTATCAGAGAAGAATGTGGGAATCTACAGGAGCAACAGATGACATGGGTCCATGGCAACTCAGCTTTCCTTTCCAGCCCCCCCCCCCATCTGTGTACTTGGAGAGTTGACTGGGAAACCTGGAAAATTAAAATAAAACACTGCTAGCAGCTGAATACAGTGGGGGAGGACTGGTGCCCTTCTCAGGGCTGTTTAGAACTTGGTGGGCAGGTCACAAACTCAGATGCCTTCTGGCCAGCAGGGGAGGGGCCGCTGTAGCTGAGAGAGAAGCGCGCAGAGCCAGTCCCTCCCCCCAGGGGTGGGCCTTCAGCACCAACCTGCAAGACCCAACATGGCTTCATAGCTGGATCCCCTCTCATATGTCTCTAAAAACCCAAATTTCCATTTCCTCTAGTTCTGAGGATTCAGTGTAAGGGTTTCACGAGTTAGACAAATCCTCTGCCCCTGAGCTGCATCACCAGCTCTTTTTAGCCATGGAGGTGCTCCTTGTGAGACTGTGGAGAGGCCCAGAGCTGTCGTGGGGTTCCCATTAAATTGCATCCATCAGCATCTCTCTACAGAAAGGGACCGCCAGCCATGGGGGAATTTGGGTCAAGCTGGAATCCCAGCTATCGCTGGGCGGCGTGTGGTAGAAGCTAGGAAGGCCGCCAGAGGGCGTCATTTTCATCCACCGCCGCGACCAGCCCCAGGAACTTCTGCAGGCACGCACAGCTCTCCCAGCCGCGTTATGTGTGGGTTCTGACTGCAAATCCTCTAGCTGACTGCGCATGCTCCTGCTCCTGCCTTGGAAGGATGCTCTTTGAAATGAATATTCCCTGACAAATGAAGGGCATATGATAATGAACGTGTCATTAAGCCAAGTGTCTTGAATCACATTATAATTTCACAACACGCAGTCTGTTGCAGGGCCTCGTGGATGGCAACGCAGGCATCCGGGTATTGGTGCTGGGACGGCGTTCCAGACGTGACGAATAAGACTCCAGGGAGTTGAGATCCATTTGGTGGCAGGATGTGTGTGTGTGTGTGGGGGGGACGAGGTGTGTGTGTGGGGGGGTGGTATTTGATTCCAAGGAACTCAGAGATGGAAGTCCAGGTGACTCGGATGGTTGCCACACGCCCCACTGCGGCTCTCCGGGATTAACGTCCCCACCCACAGCCCTGATTCAATTTGGTCCCATAATTGTTTCTATTCATAACATGGGACGCCATATGGCACCCCTCGCCTGTCAACATGGCTCTGATTTTAAGGGTTATTTAATGCAAACGCTGGGGAAATGCATGTGGCTGTCCTTCCGAGGGGACCCTTGGCCCACCCTTCATGGTTTTGCTTACTTGTTATAGAGAACAACATCCGGCCGCCAGATCTTCTCCGAGGGGATGTGAATTTTTTTCACTCCGCCATAGTCTTCCGGATTCCATTTCAAGTTGTAATCTACCCATTGCTAGAAGGGGAGACATTTCCCTAATTAGAGCGTGGAATCGACATCTTATCTAGAGTGATCCAGAGTCCCCATGGGCCAGCAAGCTTTAGGGACGCAATGTCACCGGTGGATTTGAATTTCGGTGGAATTCACTCCTGCAAGTGCTAGCCCATACTTCAGAATGGGCCCTTAGTTGTATCTTTACAGAGGAATTAATGTAAAATGAGGTCATTAGGGTAAGCCCCAGGCCAGCGTCCTTATAAAAAGAGGAAATTTAAACACACAAATACACACTCCACACACAGACACCAAATACACCGAGAGAATGTTTAGTGAACATGACAGCAGCTATCTACAAGTCTAGTAGAAGCTTCTGGACTACATTCCCCCTCACAGTCCTCAGAAGGAACCAACTCCAATAACAATCAACTTTGGAACATCTGGGCTCCAGAACAGAGCAATGACAAATTCCTGTTGTTGGAGGCTTCTGGTTTGTATCCCTTGGCTTCAGTCTCCCTAGCAGAAGAATCCACACAGAGAAGAACAGTGAACTCAAATCAAACAGGATATCAAGACATACCGGATATGTACGCTCCCACTGTTCCGAGGGACCTACTTTCATCATTTTGGTATTCCACCCCATTTCCTAGATGGAGCTCATCTGGACCCAGCTTTGATTTTAGGTGAGTAAGAGCACCGGAAGCGCCATTACCCATTACCTGTTTCAGGCGAACGTTGGTTGTCACAATCTGATTGACTTCATCCTGAAAACAGAGAAGCCCCTCTTTAGGGCATGTATAGGGACGCCAAGGGGCGAGGGTCCAGTGTGAGGGTGGTGGCACGCGGTGGGTGCCACAGGGAGCCCCCCCCCCCCCGGCACCCCTCTTACCACATTGATGAGCTGGATGAGCTGTAGACCCACGGTGACCTGTACAATCTCACGGTGGTCCTCCACCGGCCGCACCACGCTGCTATAACCCTCGAACAGCTTCGCCACCAGACGGGTCTCGTGTTCGGAGCCCAGAACAAGGCCAGCTGGGCAGCAAACGACACATGCCTTGTCAGACACTGTTCCCCGTCTTGCACACCCTCTCACCAGGGTTAGATGCATAGCCAGCCAACGAAGGGTACACAGAGCCCCTGTCAAAGGCACCTCGGAGTCCCCTCCCAAACACAGTTGCTGGTGGGGTCCCTTACCCAGAAACAGCTGGGTAGGACAGCGCATGTTCTCTCCATGGGTGACCTTACTTAATGCAGCCCCTGACCACCTCACATTTACCAGGAGACTGCACCCAAGAAAAAACCGGAGAAAGGCTTGCACGTCTCGACGTGGTCGAAGACAACTTTGGACTGGCTGGCCTCCTACCTCAGGGTGCCGTGAACAGATGAAAGTGGGTGCTGGTTTACAACCGCTAGGCTGCCCACAGGGAAAGTAAAAAGCGTTGGTGAAGTTATGGAAAACTTGAAACCTCACACACATTGGTGAGAATACAATATGTTGAGTTCCTCCACTATCTAAATCCATAGTTGTTAACATGTGATCCAGCAAGTTCACTCCTGGGCGTACACCCAAAAGAATAACCAAACTGCGTATAATACTCAGATGGTGGAAAGTACTCCAAGTGTCATTAACAGATAAGCGGATGGGTAAATTGTGGTATAGTCGAACAATGGAATATTATTGAGTCATAAAACGGGAATGAAGTGAGGATACTCTTGCAGCATGGATGCACATTAGTAACATTAAGCTAGTGCAAAAAGTCAGATATCAAGGGTACATGCTGTTTGAGACATCTGGAACACTAAGTCCATAGAGGTGGAAAGACAGGTGGGTTCCATTTAACGGGATCAGAGTATCCTTTGGAGACAATGAAAAAGTTCCAGAACTAGGTAATAGTGATAATATCACTGAACTGCATACTTTAAATGCTTAAAATAGCCAAACTGATGTAATGTGTGTTTTACCTCAATTTTTTCAAGTCACTTCCGGTAGAGCCATGTACCAATTAAAACAGAGGGGAAAAAATAAATAAAACCCAACCCCCCTATATTTTGATGACCTGGGTAGGACTTTACTCAGAACACAGATTCCTTCTTGGCTCTACCAGGTACTACCCCGGGGCTGCTAAGGCAAGCTGACTGTTCTGACCTGACCTTCAGAAGGTGCAGGACTTGCCCAAGGTCACTCAGCTAGCAGAACCCTCACATCCCTGTGTTAATCCCATATCAACTCTTAATTTTATGAGTGTGGTGTGGTGTGATCTGGCTACAACCTCCCAACTGCATCTACCCTCCCCCTAGGAGAAAATCCCTCCCAAATCCCTCATATGCTGAGGTCGCCTACCAAGGGGCAATCCATTTGCCCCGATTCATGTAACCAGATATTCCCTTTCCAAAGGCTGTTGCTGAGGCCACCATGACTTCTCCATGGGCCAAGACGGCTTTAGATGCTGAATGAATGAGGTATGTTCCATCTTCGTGTGGTAGTGTTGATTCTCACTTAGAACCTGGATCTTTAGGAAATGACTGATGCTATGTGATGAATTAGTATGTAAAATCCTATGAACGTCTGGAATCCTCCTGAATTCAGCTGCTGACCCCTCCCGACCCCCAGCTTCACAGATGAGAACTCTGAGGTTCAGTTGGTAGCCATGCTCTTCATGTCCCCTCCTAGCGAGAGGCAGGATTATAAACAGGCAGTTTATTTCTTCTCTAAAGGCAAAGAGTAATCTCCATGTGGATTTGAACCTTTCAGCATAGTTTAAACCTCTTCACTGTGGCTCTCGTGGACCCTGACGAAGTCCACATCTCACTTCTAGCTTCCTGAGTTTCCTGAACCTCAAAACGTCCGACCCTCAAGCTGTTGGCAAGCTGATGACCCTCAAGAGAGGGTGTTGTGTAAGACACTTTTTTTGTTGTTGTTGTTGTGGTGGTGGTGGTTGTTTTGCCGAGGAGGAACATGCTGGAAAGCAATGGATAGAGCGGTGGGTCAGCATTGTGTCCCAGGAAAGCTCTGAGTCGGCCGAATGGCTCACTAAGAAGGGGAGAATTGGGATGAGCATACCAGCATTCCAGAGGCACTTAGCTCCTGGCCTAGGCCATGCCAGGGGCCTTGTTCCCTCCACAGGGAATATCCACCCCACTCTCTTTTTCTAAGATTGATCTCAATGGGCAAGGTGAGGAGATGAAACACCCCGCCTCTCCAGACACACACAGTGTTTACAGAAACCTTACTGTAGCCCATGCCAGGAAACAGTCCACAGGGCCATCAGTAATAGAATGAGTAAGCAAGCCAATGTGAATTTTACAAGACTCCAAGGAAAAATTCTGCGATCCCCTTCCCAACTACAATATGGCTTGGAGAGCGGGAGTCAACACATGCTTGTAAAAGGCTTTCATTAAAAAGGCAGGTTCTACATAGAAAACAAAGCAAGTCAATATTGCCCTTTTTTAGCCAAGTCACATTGATACTTGTTAGTCAAGTCACACTGATACTCTTTATTCCAATGGTGGTGGCATTGCTAACTCACCAAACATCAGCTGAACATCTGCTGCATGCAAACATTGCTTTAGGAATGTTAAGATATTTGAAGATGTGTAGCAGGCTTTCCGAAATCATGACACAGAGACTTATTATTAGCCATGAGTGTTCAGCCTTATCTTATGCTGGTCCCAACTAGCTCACAACTATTTTAGCCTGTTTCTCTTCATCTATGTTTTACCTCTGGGCTTTTTACCTTTCTTCCCTTCTGTATGTCCTAGTTCCATGCTTTCTCTGTGTCTGGCTGGCTGGAGGCTGCCTGCCTGGCTGGCCTCGGGCGTCTCCCTCTCTTTCTCCCTCATTTTGTCATTCTCTCTCTCTCTCTTTCTCTATCTATCTATCTATCTATCTATCTATCTATCTATCTATCTATCTATCTATCTATCTATCTATCTATCTCTCTCCTAGATTCCTTCTCCTACTTATTCTGTCTGCCAGCTCACCTATCCTTCTAATGCCCTCTATGGGCCATTCAGCTTTTTATTAGACTGATCATGTGCCTTAGGCAGGCACCTGAAAGAGCAACACATCTTTACATAATTAATTTACATGATTACATAACTAAATGTAACACTTTACATTCCTCAACAAAGGTGAACCTCTTCTCTCTGTCCACATGGTGACTGACACTTGCATTTACATAAATGAAACTGTGAACACATTGGAAGGCCTCGTGTCCTGAGAAAAGTGGCGGTGGGACTCGAGTGGAAGACAGGAGAAGATCTCCATGAAAGGTGTCATGTAAACAGAACAGTGACTGCGGTGTGTTCGGTGAGCAGAGAGAGTGGCCCTGACAGGAACGAATGAGAATTTTGCCCACAGAAGACTGATGCTGAGAAGATGAATTCATACACAAGTTCAAAATGTGCTTTCTATATCATGTGGGTCTTATCTGTAATCTACGTGTGAGACTGTGTGTATTTGCACATGTGTGTGTATATGCAAGTACATATATGTGTACATGCATGTGGAGGTCAGAGGACAACCTCAGATGTCATTTCTCAGGGATCCACCTCGTTTTGGAGACAGAGTCTCTCATTAGCCTAAAATTTACCATGTAGGCTAGGCTGGATGACCAGTAAGGCACAGGCATCTGTCTGCCTTCCCTTCCCCAGTTTTATGTCCCTGGGATTACAGACATGTGCGCCACCATGCTTGGTTTTTAAAGTATGGGTTCTGGGGACTGAACTAAGGTCCTGTGTTTGTAAGGTCAGTGCTCTACTTACTGAGCCATCCTACCAGCCCGGTTAGCATTCGTACACAGGGAACTGGCCTCTGGTTTTGACAAAAGGAATTCTGAACTGCAGTGAGTCACTATAGGTAAATCTTACTCCAATCTTGTGCTGAGTCTCTGCCTGGGTGATTTCAGGTTGTTTTGGCTTGTGCATGGGACAGGTTTGTAAGTGATCACATTCCAGGATTTAGGTCATCTCACCACCACACGTCAGCTCACATCTCCTAGCTTCAGTTTCCTTACAATAAAAAATTGAGGCTGTTGGGCTGCATTCTATAATTCTAAATTTCTTTTTCTTTTCTTTCTTTCTTATTTTTTTGTTTGTTTATTTTTTGTTTTTTGAGATAGAGTTTCTCTGTGTAACGGCCCTTTGTAGACCAAGCTGGCCTTGAACTCACGGAGATCCACCTGCCTGGGGCTCCCCAGTGCTGGGATTAAAGGTGTGGGCCACCACGCCTGGCTATAATTCTAAATTACTGTGGACTACTGTCACATCCTTTGCATGGCTCCAGGAAAGGACCTGGCTGGGGCAGTGAGGGAATTATGAAAGAAACACAGACAGACACACGGACACAGAAAAACTTGGGTCAGATGGCCGGTCTCTCAGATGGAGAAACCACAGAACCCCGGAAGCTCAGCATGTTTATTATACAGATTGAACAGGTGGAGTGGTTGTTACGGTGGTCCATTAAACAAGCAGGCAGGGTTTGTGGTATCCAGTTGGAGCCAGGGGACAGGACTAGCTACCTCCGTGGGAACAGCTCTGTAGGGGAGCAGTCTTCAGGCCATAACAGCCAGGGGGCAGAAAACTATGGTAGACATTTTCTGCCCACACTTTCAGTATTCACACACGGACCAGAGGAAGGCTTTGCCATTTTCCTCTGAGCCTTACTCTAGGGGGAGGGCTTTTCTATTCCTCTTCGAGTCTGAGGCTCTGGGGTACGTGACATGGCCATATACCCATGGC